AACCTTCCACACTACACGACGTACACACACACATCATGTATGCACGCGCAAGCACACCGCATCATCCAGTTTTAGGTTTCGGCTCGAATAGCAAAAAAAATTATGGTTTAGTTTCGGTTCAGTTCCGAAAATAATTATTTTGTAAATTTTGTCGCAAATATCTAGCCAATAAATAACAAAAACTATCGGTTGTTTTTGTGATCATTAAAAGAGAAATGTTTTTAAAATATTTAAACCAAGAATTAAAGATTTTCAACTATTAAACTTTAAGTATATAGATGTACATTTCACAAGAGCTCATACATGGAATGTTTTATAAATCTACACTATCATTTTTAAATATTTTTTCAAATTTTTTCAATGCAGATTATCCACATGAATGCCGATGCAGCAACTACTGCTCCCTTTGACATCGAAGTCAAATTGAATAGCGGCGAATCCATATATATCGAAATCAAAACTAGTTCTTCGTTGAAAAAAAATTGGTTTGAAACAAGTCTCCAGGAATTGTCTTTTGCCCTTAATAAAGGTGAAAGTTATCAAGTTTATCAAGTGAAAGGTGTCAAAGAAGATCCTTCAAACATAAAAATAACAAAAATTGTCAATCTAAAAGAGATTTTGTTGAACAAAAAAGCAAAATTGGCTGTTATTGTATAAAATTATTTGAGTTTGAACTGTTTATATTTTTAACATTTTCATTTGAAGATCGTTGTTCATATATTTTTATTTATTTAATAATTGTTTAGTAATTATTTCTCTTTTTTAGTTAATTAACTGATGAACAATGAAACTTTGTATTTTACAGTTTTAGTCTGCTTCATACATTGAAATTAAATGGCTTCATTTACTTCCTCATTTATATCTATTTCCGGCACTTTTACACCAAAATCGAGCTAAAGAAGGAAACAACCTTTAGAAAATCACGCTCATGTATGCTATATATTCCAGCTTAGTTGGACAATATATACAAATGCGTATATCATTATTATTATGGGTGTGCCCCATAAAGGGACGTTGCCGTGTTCACAAAGTGCCTCTTTCAAGCGATCATGAGCAAGTCTCCAAGCGGAGTAAGGACCGTAGTTGATGAGGGTCAGGTCCTTTTCCACTGAGCAGATCCATAACTGTCTTGGACGGCCGCGCGGTCGAGTCCAGTCCGGTGGCGGTCGGTCTATGACAGCTTCTAAAGCCCGGTAATGATCCTCCATGGGACTGGCATGAGCTGTTAAAATATATATATATAATTAGGGTTAAGACCGTCGTTGGTGCAATCGTTAGGAAATATAACCATTTTTTCTTCGATCAGCTTGTATATATATATATATATTTCATTTCATTTTTTCATTTTCAAAGTTTTATTCATAATCAACAACATATCAAATAAGTGAATAAAAGTTATGAAGTTGAATATGCGGAGACCGAATAAGCTGTTTGTCTTGTGGTGGCCACCGCAGGTAGATACATGAATAGTTAATGAAATAAAATAAGGAAAATAACTGAGGCAGAAAGATAATTGAAGATAACTAAGTAAATGTTCGTGTCATACATATATAGACATATAACTATGTAAATGTTCGCTCAGTACATATATAAACACATAAATGTTTAACCATTCATAAAGACCATTCATCCGCATCATTTGTTCTAACGTGTTGTGACGATTGTGATGATAATGATTGCGCGATTGAAATATGCCGCCTGTATTGTGATGATAATGATTGCGCGATTGAAATATGCCGCCTGTATATTTTGTGAAATTGTGACGATTGTGATTATAATGATTGCGTCTTTGAGGCGTGCCGCCTATAAATATCTATATATTTTACTAGACATTCTATGCATGTATATTTTGTTATTTGATATGCTATATATGCGACGCTGCTGTGCTGTATCGCTTTTCTGAGTATAGGAAAAGAGTATAGATAGGAGTATAGAATTTTCTATGATATAGAAAGCGTTATGTAGATGGGGCGGGTCGTTTGTTATTTTTATTTTAGGTTTTGTCTCTTGCTTGGTAGTTGTATTATTAATAGATTAATTTTGGATTTATCGTTTTTTTTAATAAAGACAGAGGTTTGATTTGTATTATTTTGTTTGTTATTTTATTTCTTTTATTGAATAAAAGAAGTGTACACTTGAAGTTTGGCTCGGCTTAATTATTCTACCTAAAATAATGGATGTTGAAGAAGACTTGCTGATAGTTGACGAGGTCGGCGTCTCTAGTCAACAAGCAGGGCGCGAACAAACTTCCGCCCGGCCCGTGTTTTCAGACCCTGAGAGGGTCTATTGTAGAGTGGCGGATCCCGGCCAGGAAAGACTCCGCCGAAGCGAAGGCTCGGGTGGATATTCGTATGCGGACGCGGTTCGGGACCGCGTGGTGCGGAATTCGAATGTCGCCCGGCGAAAATCTACAGTATTCTTAATATAATATTAGGTGGTGGAGTCGAGATCCAGTGTCAATAAAAAAGCACGGAATTTTGACTTGAAATGTTGTAGGTTTATGATGGCTCTTAGATGGGGAGGTACAAGTTCTGTCCAAATTTTAGGACCTGTTATTTTTATGCTTGTCTGGATTAATTTAAGGCGAGTTTTGTAGATATAGAAGAGAGGGGTGTGTCTAGTGGTTGTAGATTGAACGGAGTTACTTAATGTGTAGAAGTTGATAAAGTGAGGTGGGAGAAGATTGTTGATAAATTTAAAAACGAATAAAGCAGAGTAGTAAAGACAGATGAAGTTAACTGGTAAAATTTTTTTTGCTAGGAAGAAGGGTTTAGTATGAGAATCGGGTTTGAGGTTAAAAATTAAACGTATTGATCTTTTTTGGGAAAGTATTAGGTTATTCAGGTGGCTTTTTGGACTATTTCCCCATAGTGTGATGCAGTAGGTTAGATAAGGGTAGATGAAGTATTAGGTTATTCAGGTGGCTTTTTGGACTATTTCCCCATAGTGTGATGCAGTATGTTAGATAAGGGTAGATGAATGTGTAATAAAGCGTGCGAAGAGCAGAAAGAGAGAGTTTATATTTGATTTTGTAGAAGATGCCTGTGAGTTTGTTTGTTGTTTTTTGTCTGAGGTAGTTTGTAGGTGAGAATTCCATGAAAGATTTTCTGTGATGGTGATTCCAAAATATTTGGTAGACAGGGTGCGGCTTATAGGAACACCATTAACTAATAGGTTTAGGTTAGGAGCTTGGTTGGTGAGTATTTTTGGGCCAAAAATAATGTATGCACATTTCGAATAATTTATGATTAGTTTGTTATTGGATAACCAGTTAGAGTATTTTTGGAGTTCAAGATTGATATGTTCAGAGCTATCTGGTAGGTTGTTGAAAGTAAAAAGAAGGTTGGTGTCGTCTGCGAACAGTACGCATTCGGTTGAGGGCGAAACATTGCAGAGGTCATTTATGTAGATAGAAAATAGAAGGGGTCCTAGTATGGATCCTTGTGGCACCCCGTGATGAATAAGAGCGTGCTTTGAATTGATGTTGTCCATGGAAACATATTGTGTCCGTGATGAAAGATAGCTTCTCATCCAGTTGTGAGCTGTGCCTCTTACTCCGTAATGATGTAGTTTGGATAGGAGTATTTTGTGATCGATAACATCGATGAAGTCAAGAATAGCAAGCTCAGTTGAGTGGTTGGGTCTGAATCCGTATTGGTTATTGCAGATAGTATTGTTGGAGCAGAAGAAATTAGAGAGTCTTTTAAAGAAAAGTTTTTCAAGAATTTTTGACAGCGGGGAAAGAATGGAGATGGGTCTGTAGTTGTTAATGTCATCTTTGTTTCCTTTCTTGAATACTGGTATGATTTTGGCTATTTTAAATGAGTCAGGAAAGATTCCAGTGCTTAGTGATAAGTTGAAGATATGATTAAGTGGTGATATGATAGAGAAAATCATGCTTTTGATAAGGAACATGTTGAGTCCATCGTCTGCACAGCTCTTTTTGTTTTTCAAGATATTAACAGTAGTTAATATTTCTTGTTCAGTAACAGGATATAGACAAATGGAATGGGGTGTGAATGGGCTCATAAAATCTGTAGGACTACCATAGCTGGGAGGTTGGTTTGAGAGTAGTTGACTAGCGATGTTTGCAAAGTGGGTGTTGAGAAGGTCACATATTTTTGGTTTGAGATTTCTGATTTGGAAGCGATGGCGAATATAGGGAAATGGTCAGATATGTCAGACAGAATTATTCCAGATAAGTGAGAAATTAGATTGTTAGTAAAGATATTGTCGATGAGTGAGCAAGAAGAAGTTGAGATGCGAGTAGAGGAGGTTATAAGAGGTAAGAAGTTGTATGATGATAGTAGGTTAGAGAAGTCAGCAACGACGTTGTCACTGTTGAGTTTATTGAGGTCAAGTTTAAAGTCGCCAATTAAATAGCTCTCTATGTGTGGCTTGAATGTGGGTAAAATAAGTTCGAGCTTTTGGATTAAGATATTAGGGTCAGTGTTGGGGGGTCTATATACTGCTAAAATATTTACGTGTGTGTTGTTTAATTTTAAATTGACACCAAGAAGGTCAATAATGGTGTCGTTCAGAAGCAAATTGTTTATCATAGAAAATTCAATGCCTGATCTGATGAAGATTCCGACTTCACCACCTATTCTGTCAGACCTATTTTAAAAACAAAATTGTAATCATTCATACGAACTAGTTTAGCGGTTTCGTCATTCAGCCATGTCTCTGAAATAATAATAATGGAAAAAAAATAAGATAAAAATTTATTTAAAATTAAAATGTCAGAAATTTTATTTAAAAGACTTCTGCTGTTTATGTGAAGTAGAGGTAGAGAGTGATCATGATTGTTGATGTACTTGGCTTTTAGAATGTTGAGTAGATCTCTTGTGGGGTAGTAGGATGACTGTCTGGTGAATGAATCTAGGAGGTTCTTTGTGGGGTCGATGTGGGTGTTGTATGCGTTAAAGTGTTGATCATCTTCGTCGTTGTTTGATGGTTGAGGATGTTGTTGGATAGAATTGATTGTGGAATAAGTATTGTTAACAGCCATTGTCGTGATTTATTGATGTCGCAGAATTGACATCGGAGGGAGGACTCATCATCGATGAGGCTTGTTGTTGTTTATGTGGTTCGACCAGCTGAGAAGGGCCCATCGTGACTGGCTCGATTGGCTGAGTGGATTCTTCTGAAGAAGTTAAAATGGAAGCTACCTCAACTGTGTTTTCTACATGCTGATGTGAGTTGACCAGCGATGGTGTATTAACATTTGGTAGGTCGACAGGATAATGATTTGGTAGTGAAGTTGTAGTGGGTTTTATCAAATGCTGTGGTCGAGCATGAAATAACCAGGGGTGAATTTCCACGCCGATAGGCCAATTTTCAGGATTGGTAAAAATCATTTCCTGATGTTTAAAAATAGTTATGCGGAATTTTGTTGATGGATCACTGGTTGAAGGTTGAGGACGAGTGGGAGAGAATTTAAAGACTGGTACGCATTCTGCAGCGGTCAGTCCAATAGTTTCCAGATGTTCAAGGATCTCTTCTTTGACGCAGCTTTTCAATTTACCTACCCCAAAAACAATTTTTTTGGGAGGCAAAGGAGCTGCAGATAATTTGAAGGACCAAGGTTGTTTGGAACCTACAATAATTGGAGTGTATTTTCTCCTTTTTTTTGAAGTAACTTCGTGGCCACTGGAATTAGAGTTGTTTTTATTGATGTTATTGTTAGGAGTTGAAAGTGAAGAATGAGCAGGAGCAACTTCAACGTTGACGAAGGTAATGTTCGCGACGGTTTTAACTCAGCGACGATTAAGCATATGTAAAAGGCGGATTATGAAAAAACCGATTAAATAATAAATATTTAAAGGTTTAATGAAATGAAAAAGATTTATTATTGTTTTTTATTTGTTATTTATAACATTTTAACTTTATTCAGATTAAAAATTGCATAAAACAATAGAAAAAACTTCATCATAAAATCGCTATATATTAAGATACCAACGATAAGGAGAAAGTTGAAAAATCGCCAAAAATTTATTTATGTATGCATCTGAAAAATATTTGCATTTTTTAATAGACAATTTTATTTATAAAAATACCATATATAACAAAACTTTCTCCCGTTTTGTGCACATTCTCAAAAATTCGATTGAACGCGTTAACCCTACTTTTCCAAATTTGCGTCATCGGTAACGAGAAAGGTAAAAAATCGCCAAAAATCCATTTATTTGTGCATCTAAAATATATTTGCATATTCTAATAGACAATTTTATTCTCAAAAATAACATATATAACAAAGCTATCTCCCGTTTCGTGCACATTCTCAAAAATTCGATTGAACGCGTTAACCCTACATTTCCAAATTTGCGTCATCGGTAACGAGAAAGTTAAAAAATCGCCAAAAATCCATTTATGTGTGCATCTGAAAAATATTTGCATATTCTAATAGACAATTTTATTTCCAAAAATAACATATATAACAAAGCTATCTCCCGTTTTGTGCAAATTCTCAAAAATTTGATTGAACGCGTTAACCATACATTTCCAAATTTGCGTCATCGGTAATGAGAAAGTTAAAAAATCGCCAAAAATCCATTTATGTGTGCATCTGAAAAATATTTGCATATTCTAATAGACAATTTTATTTCCAAAAATAACATATATAACAAAGCTATCTCCCGTTTTGTGCACATTCTCAAAAATTCGATTGAACGCGTTAACCCTACTTTTCCTAATTTGCGTCATCGGTAACGAGAAAGGTAAAAAATCGCCAAAAATCCATTTATTTGTGCATCTAAAATATATTTGCATATTCTAATAGACAATTTTATTCTCAAAAATAACATATATAACAAAGCTATCTCCCGTTTCGTGCACATTCTCAAAAATTCGATTGAACGCGTTAACCCTACATTTCCAAATTTGCGTCATCGGTAACGAGAAAGTTAAAAAATCGCCAAAAATCCATTTATGTGTGCATCTGGAAAATATTTGCATATTCTAATAGACAATTTTATTCCCAAAAATAACATATATAACAAAGCTATCTCCCGTTTCGTGCACATTCTCAAAAATTCGATTGAACGCGTTACCCATACATTTCCAAATTTGCGAAATCGGTAACGTAAAATGGTATTCAATAAAAACACCGCTCGCGTTAGCCATCTTCAGTCTTCGACAAAAGATGTTCACTCCTGCACTACGATGAAGTGCGAGTCGGTTTTTGCAGGAGACCTACCTATAGAGCTGCGTTATTTTTACTGGCTTAGTTAAATGAAACTAAAGCAGCTAAATTAAACTAATTTTTGAATGTAAAAAGACTCATTCAATTAAAAAAAACGCAACCTACCTAGAGAGCTGCCCGAAGCAGGCTCATTCAATTAAAAAAAGGAACCTACCTAGAAAGCAGCCTGAAGCAGGCTCATTCAATTAAAAAAAGGAACCTACCTAGAGAGCTGCCTGAAGCAGGCTCATTCAATTAAAAAAAACGCAACCTACCTAGAAATGAACGTAATTTTTCTGGTTACATGAAAAAGTAATTAAATATTAGCAATTTATTTTAGTATGAAAACTTCATATATACTTAGAATACCTATACAGGCCATCGAACGTAACCGCGCACATTTTCAGTTTTCATTTTCAGTAGGTCTCATTCTTTAGTTTCTGTGAACAATACTCAATAAACTCATTACAATTTTCACATCTTCATAGTTTATTAATAAGTATATATTCATTTTTTAAAGATTTTATTCATTTCAATTATGTTTAAATTGATTTTTTGAGGGTACCTTTATTTTGCTTGTTTTACCCTTTTGCTTTTTGCAGCAAATTTGTTTTAAAAGAGCCCCGAGAAAAACTTGTGCTGAAATAAATAAGGTACACATTTTAAAATTAAGGAAACGAAAAATGAGAAAAATTATTTAGTTGAACGATAACATTTTTTAAAACTAAAAATAGCTGTTCAAATATAAACATCAACAACGGTTTCGCTAAAAGTAATGAAATCAATAGTAAAATGCATTTAATTTTGACGATTGTCACGATTACTCTAATCTAATCGTTACCCACGTAACTTCTTTTTCTAATTTTTCTGTAGTGAGTTCTGCTGCTTAATCGTTTCAATATTAGACCAAATGGCTGACGAAACAAACGAAAGTTTAAATGACGTTTCAGAAGAACAACCAGGAACAAATTTTGTAACGATTAGTTTTCTTACGCGATTCAATTTTATAAAAATCGATTTGCGTTTCGTAAAGATTATTCTAGGCAGTAATGAATCGAACTAGGTTTGTTTGGTATAAGGCTGAACCTAGCTATTCCGACTGACCTATATATTATGCAAGGAGAGATCGTGAAAAAAGAAGGTGTTTTACATATTTCAATGGAAATTGTATAGCTATATAAGCTGCTTAACTAATCATTGAAATGTATGTAAGGTATATATTCTATATTAGCAGGTCGCACAACGTTAAAAAATGCCAACCCAACTTCACCGCGTTTTCCTGAAAGTGATTTAACATTACTATCGCAAACTCGCGTTTTCGTTGTCGTTATTTTTGTTTATTTTTCGAAAATGCGCCCATCTATATAATTTTCGGTTGTTATGAGCGATAAAAGAAATATGTATTATTATAAAAATAGAGTCATATTTGCAGCAGATTATTCGCTACGAGGTTGGTGTATTTTATATTTTTTTAAAAACTTAGTAAAACATGAGTAAAAATGACAATTTTAAAGAAATATGATAATTAACCGTTTATTAACATTAGGTAAAAATATTTTTGAAATTAGAGTAGAAGCAGAATATTTTTTTGATTTTTTTCCGTATGCACCTCGCGGTCACGAAAATGCATTGTATTGGTCGTGTTTTTTCATCAGAATGTTCATAACTACTAAGTTTCATGGATGAAAACGACAGTTTTAAAGAAATATGATCATTAACCATTTATTAACATTCTGTAAAAATATTTTTGAAATTAGAGTAGAAGCAGAATATTTTTTTGATTTTTTTCCGTATGCACCACGCGGTCAGGAAAATCAAAGTGCGTTGTGTTGTATTGGTAGTTTTTTCATCAATCGTAGCTGCTAAGTTTCACAAGCAATGACAACAATTTTAAAGAAATGCAATAAATAACCACTTATTAACATTCTGTAAAAATATTTTTAAAATTAGAACACAAATTATTTTTTAATTTTTTTCCATGACTCCACAAGTCCACACGGTCAAACAAAAATGCATTGAAAATTGGTTGTCTGTGTTTTTTGAATAGAATAGTCATAACTATTAAGTTTCCTGCTTGATATTAATTATATTTAAGAAGTGTGATAAATTGTTTTATAATTATTTGTCCTGTATTAAAAATAAATGATGCATAATAAAATGAATTTATTGTTTTACAGATATTTCTATTCGATTTGCAAATCTTTTCAAAATCATTATGCAAACTCAAGCTTTGAGGGATTTTGTAAATGAAAAGTATTCAAGATGTGTAATATGATTATTATTATTAAGTTTTATAATCATATAATGAAATATAATAATTATGATAATATTATAATAATCAATATATCATAATAATATAATAATCATATAATAATAATATATAATTATAAATGAATTATATTTAAATATAAATTATAATATATTATATAATATAAAATTATAAATACCATTGCAACATGATTATGATTATTGAATTTTAATTTATATTTAATATATATAAATTATGGATATATATAATTATTTTATAATTATAATTAATCATTTATAATTAAATTTTATTATAAATATAAATTATTCATAATTATTATTTTCTTATTTTACAGCTGTTATAAAAACAAGAAGAAAAAATTGTGTTGTGTTCAATTTTAAATCGTTCTTTTCACGTCTTGTGCGCGAATATAACGCTCAATGCTCACTTAACATTGAGCGCCACTCTTAACATGGCGCAAGTTGAAAGTAAAAATAATTCTTTCAAAATTCGTTTTCTCGGTAACTATAAATGCTACAATAATAAATTTGGTATTATTTTAATCAGCAAATTTTGCTTTATAGGAAAAAGTAGTTTATATACAAAAAAAAATATAAACCTGCTATTCTATATATTTCAGTAACGTATATATGAACGTAGTTAAACGTCGAACCATTACCTATCTATGCATTGCAAGAGTGATTTAAGAAGTGAGCAAGTGAACTGCAGTTTTATATCAAGTGTTCAGTTTCAACAAAAAATTATTACGAATTATTTTGCATTTTCTGATTTCATTACTTCCACAACATTGGAGTATTTATTAGCTATTTTTTGGGAGGTAATTTCAAAAAAAAAAATATTTTGCAACGTGCAGCTTTATTTAAAATTAAATTTTAAAAAGTTGTTTTTTTTAATTACATAAACAAGGCGTAACGTGCATTTTATCGATATGCTAGTATATCGAGACATCCAAGATTTTACACAGTGTAACTCGCTCTACTATGGTCTTCCTGATTCTACACTTTCCTTTAAGTAAAGCTTTTTCTCCGCCGCTCGTCTAGTTCATGCCCCTATCTTTCTCATATGTCTCCATATCTTGTTCTCTTGTTATCTTATTTGCATATTCAAAATTTATTTTTAATTTAAAATTTTTAAAATATATAATAATTTTAGATTAAAATTTTAAATACCATGCTGTAAGTAAAAATGGCAGCATAAATCATGATATGATACTCAACTGTCTAGCCAATATTGCCAAACAAATAAAAAGATTTGGATAATGTTACTTTGCATATTGAACATTTATTTTTAATTTAAAATTTTTAGTTGAAGGATGAAGCAACTCAAATAATAAACAAGAGTTTCGTTAACATGCATAGCGACGTTAGTAACTTATTCAATGAAAAAATTGCCAACCTAGAAACTGACTTTGCACATAGAATTACAGAAAAGGTGAACTTTTCAGATTTTTAAACTTATAATTTAAATGATTGATGTTTATGTACAAATTTAATGCTTTAGGTAACAATAGCTCAAGAAGATATTTTGAAGACAAATAAAGTTTTTCGCGAGATTAGCCGACCTTTAGGAGTAAATTGGGAAAAACTTTTTGAAACTTTAACCTCTGATTTACCAAAAGAAAAAGTCGAAGAAGAAATAAAAATGATAAAGCAACAAACTTTATTAGTGCAGCCATACAAGAGTTTATTGTCTTGGAAAGTGCGTACAATTAGTTTATTTTATTCATTTATTAGCAAATTTTTTATTTTTCATTAAATATAAATATTTTCGATTTATTTATTTGTTAACAGACGACTGAATTAATCAATTGCAAAGTCTTTTGTTTTTTGAAAAAGCATTTTATATGGGTCCCTATAAATTGAATTCAATTTCAAGAACTTTTCATAGATTATTTTCCTTTACTGGTTACTTAGTTATGTTCGATGGTTCAGGCGCATTTCAAAATTTTGACTTTGTATCTTGACTTTTACTTCTTTTATTTATATATTCTTTACTGTAAATTATTTTATTTCTTGTTGAAGAATATTAAGTGCGTCAGTCAAAGATGATTTATATTCTTTTCCTTACACCCATCTCAGTTTCTCATTAATTCACTCAATGTGATTTATTGAATTTCTGTTTGCTTTTTATTCGAAAGCAATATCCAAACATTTTAAAAATTGCATCGATGTTCTCTACCTAATTCTTTTTATTCGAATTATTTATTAAACATTCTTATGGAACATTTAAAGCAGTGCTTTTAAAGTCGTGTTATAATAAGTCATCATAACGGTTCCTTTTTTTTTCTTTTTCGTTTTAAATAGTTCATTATTTCTATGTAATTTGCAAACTAATTAACAGTTTAACACTACGTTGTTAAGGAATTGAGAGGTGCTACATTCAATTGTGCTGACTTGATACCTTCACTGAAATGTTTAGGCTTAAATGACCTAGCAGATTCTGCTGAGAAGATACTTTACCGTAAGTGTTCTAGATTTATTTTGCCGGATTTTTTTGATGAAATTGATGGTTACCCCATTAATTTCATAGCATATCAGTTGGTAAATTGTTAATGAAATTTAAAAAACGTAAGTTATTAAGTTTGATATTAATTGCCATTAGTTTGGGTTGTTTACGTTTAGCGTGATGGCGGCACGTTTTCTCGGTGGTTTTGTAATTTGGGTGGATTTTTGTTTCTGAACAAGTGAGTTCTCTTCTTTTTTACTATGACTATTTTTTTCTATACCTTTCTATATCTTTTTCTTTAACTTTTAAATATTATTATGTCTTATTCTAGAGACTTTCTCTTAAGCCTCTCTAACACTCCTTTGTCTCCGACGAGAGTAGTTCGGCGGCGAATTTTTTTACTTTAATCTTAGGTCTAATAATAACAATAAAAACAATAAATCTAACTTTAAAAAAAATATAAATATAGTTAGTAACAATAATAATACTAATAGCAAGTACAATAAGAATAACTTTATTAAATCCCACTCTAATGTAATTAATACTAACGATAAGAATAATAATTATAATTCTATTATTTTAAATAATATAACTAGATTTAAAAGTACCAATATCCAACCTATCTCTACATTTTCACTATTTAATATTAACATAAGATCAATTAATAAAAAATCGCTCTATATCCATCAAATAATCTCTTCCTCCTTACCTGATTTTTTTACTCTTACTGAAACTCGGCACGAGGACTCTAACTCTCCCTCTCTTATTCTTGCTACTCCTGATGGTTACAGCTTCCTTGAACTCTAGACCTCCAAAAAATCTTCTATCATCTTCTCATTCTTCTTATGGGGGTATCTGTCTATTTTATAAATCTCTATTTACTGCTTCCATTAATACTTCCTTTAATTTTTCTTCTTTTGAATGTCTTGCTGTATCTCTTAAGTCTTCTTCTCTATCTTTTTATATTGCTTTAATCTATCGCTCTCCTTCTTCTTCTCTCACTTTATTTTTAGATGAATTCTACTCACTCGCTGAATCTCTCTACTCTTTTTCTATTCCTTTCTACATCTCTGGTGATTTCAACTTGCACTTCAATAATTTATCATGTTCTTACACTCGTAGATTTAATGATATTTTGTCTCTTTTTAACTTAACTCAATATTGTTCTTTTCCTACCCATACTTCTGGTAACACTATTGATTTTATTATAGCTTCAACTTTTTCTAAGCCTATTAATATCTCTGCTAGCTCTGTTCCTTATTCTGATCACCGTCTTATTGAATCTATTTTTTCATTAGATTTTCTTCCTTCAAATTCATCTATGTCTATTTCTAAAAGATGCTGGTCTTCTCTTAATAAAGATATTTTTCTTCAATCTCTTACTGAAACTATTTTTGATACTACCTTATTTTCTGATGTTGATGATTTTGTCTATGCTTTTAATATCTACATTACTTCTATTCTTGATAAGCTTATTCCTCTTAAATCTTTTACTTATAGGCTCTATTCTCGTAAGGCTCCTTGGTTTGATTATGCTTGTGTAGTAGCCAAGAAAAGTGTTAGAAGACTGGAGAAAGCCTATAGGTTAAATCCATCTAACTCTTTATTCTATTTATGAATCTGAATTGATTAATTATAAATATCTACTAAAACACAAATTTTTTTTGGAAATTCTATAACATCTGTTTCAACATCTAAAAATAGGTGGTCTGTTCTATCTAAACTTCTACATAAAAAATCCTCTCACTCATCTTTTTCTGCTCAACAGTTTCATGACTTTTTTGTAAATAAAATTACTTCTTTAAGAACATCTAATTCTAATTTTTCTTCTCATAACTTCACTAAACTTACTACTGAATCTTTTTCTGTATTTACTCCAATAAATTTTTTAGAACTAACTAAAATTATTAATTCTATGTCGTCTACAACCTGTTTTCTAGATCTATTTTCTTCTAATTTACTTAAAGAATTTTCTTCAATATTTTATCCAATCATTCTCAAATTAGTTAATTTATCTCTTTCTACCTCTAAATTTCCTACTTCTTATAAGAATTCTATTGTTATTCCTATTCTTAAAAACTCATCCTTAGATCCTACCTCTTTATCTAATTATAGACCTGTAACTAATATTACTTTCATCTCTAAAATAATAGAAAAAGTAGTTTTTAATCAACTGTCATCCTATTTAAACTTTAACTCTGCTACCTGTATCTCAATCTGGTTTCAGACCTGCTCACAGTACTGAAACTTCTTTACTCAAAATACACAATGATATCCTTCTCTCTAGTGACAATAGTAATCTTACTCTTCTTCTTGCTCTTGACTTTTCCTCGTCTTTTGATACTGTTGACCATACTATTCTCTTGAGACTGCTGCATCTTTCTTTTAGTATTACTGATTCTTGTCTATCTTGGTTTTCTTCTTATCTCTGTAATCGTTTCTTTTCTGCTGTTTTCAATAATTCTACTTCTAATTCTTCTACTCTTCCTTTCGGGGTACCTCAGCCCTCTTCTATTTATACTCTAAACTTCTTAACTACCTCATATTATTAATAACTTTTCTTTCTCTAGTCAACTATATGCTGATGATTCTTACATTTATACTTCTTTTCCTCCATCTAATCTCAATAGTGTTCTTCATAATTCATCTCTATGTCTTTCTTCAATTATCGCTTGGTCTGACTCTATGTGTCTTAAACTTAATCCTTCTAAGTTTGAATTAATTTGTTTTAATAAATCTAAACACTCTATTACTATTCCTCCTATTATCTTACCTGATTCTAAAACTCTTAATGTTTCTCATAAGTTTCGTAGTCTAGGTTTTATCTTTGATTCTACTATGTCTCTCTCTTCTCAGATAAATAGTGTTGCTAGAAGCTCTTACTTTCATCTACGTAGAATAAAAAACTTTTGCCTCTTCTTGATGATCCTACTCTTCTCCTTCTTGTTACTTCGTTAGTCTTATCTAGGATTGATTATTGTAACTCGCTCTACTATGGTCTTCCTGACTATACTCTATCCTTTAAGTAAAGCTTTTAACTCTGCTCGTCTAGTTGCTCGTGCCCCTTTCTTTTCTCATATATCTCCATATCTTGTTCTCTTACACTGGCTACCTATAAAATATAGAATAATTTTTAAAATTTGCACGTTCATGTATAAGTCTCAATCTAAATTATTTCCTAAGTATTTATCAGATATATTAATTGAACCTAAACGCCCCGGTTTACGATCGTCTTCTTCTCGCTTTTTCTTAACTCGTGTTAAACACTCTTTTGCCAAATCTGCTTTTGCTTTTTCTGGTCCTTTTCTCTGGAACTCTCTACCTACTTCTCTGACTACTTCTCTATCACTTGCGAAGTTCAGAGCGGATCTCAAGACCCATCTGTTTTCAAAATTCATTGAGGAGCGCTGTTGAACATCGCGGAAATAGCGCTTTATAAGCTAATTGATTGATTGATTGATTGATTGATTATAACTAGTTTAGAAGAAGAATTAAAGTTTTAAATGAAGTTTTTTGACTTTGTAGAAGTCAGTTTAAGTATTATATATATATATATATATATATATATATATATATATATATATATATATATATATATATTAAAATAAGAAAACTTGTATAGCGACTTTTATGCAACTACCCAAAGTCGCTATCCAACATAACCAAAAAAAATAAATTTTGTCCATTTAAGTGATCAAACAAAAACAGAAATATTTTGAAAATAAACATAAGTATACATTGTAAAAAGAACTAAAACAAAACAGATAAATCCTTTAAATTCATACACAGATACACACATATACTCTCGACCATACCCAATCACTGAAAGTAATGCAACAACCATATAAGAACCAAACAGCAACCATTTTAAACCAAATCATAGATACATTCATCCTCACTTTTTTTTTATTATTATTCTTTAAAAATCAGGATCTGACAAACGCAGAAACTGTAACAACATGTAAGCCAGTCAAACAAAATTAAACAAATAAGTGAGAAAATAAATACAAAAAGTGAGGAAGAGAAATGATAAAACATGAAAATAAAATATGTTAGAATAAAATAAATAATAATAAGACAAATAAAAGAAAAGTAATTGACGATGGAATATAAAATGAAGTAACGGCAAATTGATAGACTAGATGATGACTTAGTGGGTTAGTGAGGTGATCGATAGATAAAGGCTAGGCCTGTGTGTGAAAAAGTTTAATGATTATTAATATATTTGGTGACTTATTAATAGAATAAATGATGACTTAGTGAGGTAATCGATAAAAGTGAGGTGATCAATAAGTAAAAACTAGTTCAGTAATGATGAAGTTTTCTTAATGTGAACTTTATCCACATTTATCCACACCGATCACACACAATTACGCTCAGAAGATACACGATAACATATAATTCAGAACAACCAACAGATAAATTCCCAACCACCAGCACAATATTAATAAATCAATTCAAATTATTAGAAACACACGAAACACACACATCTCCTCACATCCAAAACACATTCAACGTAAGCACATCCCATCATAAAACACCCATTACGTACTCGACAACTCAATTATATAATTAAAACGTAAATAAAAAAAACAGCATAAAACAAATGAATGTTCCGTTATCGATAAGCTACATTCATAAACAACAAAAGCAACATGCAACATACTATTCACAACTTCAATTAATCTTCAAAACAGGTGTGTTTTGAATTCTCTCCTAAACTGCAACAGTGACATCCCTGGTCGACGAATGACGCATGGAAGACTGTTCCATATTCTCGTACCACATACAGCAAAGTTACGAGACCCAATTTTCAATTTTGACATCCGATCTGTCAAGTAATTCTGATCGTTTGATCTCAAGACAAAATTCTGAGCAGTCATATCTTTGAGTGTAAACATCTCCGTCAGATATCGTGGTGCCAAACCATTTAAACACTTGAACATTAATAAACAAATTTTAAAAACAATCCTCTTTTCAATTACCAACCAGTGCAAATCCTTAATTAATGGAGTCACGTGATCATACTTTCGTCCACCCACCTTTAGCTGCCCTATTCTGTACAGATTGCAACAGTGCAATTTCATTCGCTGAAACACCATACAGTAGGCTGTTGCAGTAGTCCAAACGTGAGTGGACAAATGAATGAACTAATGCCATCAAAGCGGGCTTGTTGACGAATCTCTTAATGCGCTGCAACTGACGTAGATGAAAACAACATGTCTTTACGACACCCCGTATATGATCCTGAATGGTCAGATTAGCATCAAGTGTGAAGCCCAGAATTGTGGATGATCTTTCAAATTTAACAATGGCATCATCCATTTCTAATGCATCTCGATGTATTTCTGATGTCTGCTGCCATGTACCAATTGGCATTAACTTGGTTTTATCTTTGTTCAATTTTATTCCATTTTGTGACATCCATATATTTACTGCAGCTAACGCATCTTTCAGTCCTTCAGCTAAATCATCAAACTTTTCAACAGGAGCACATGATACTAACTGAATATCATCTGCATATCATCTGCATTACCTAACACTCCATCTTATGATTCTCCATCATGTCAAACACATCAGCAGTATACAACAAGAAGAGAAATGGCCCCAACACCGATCCCTGAGGGACGCCAGTTAACATTTTTTCTTCATCCGAATACTCATTACCAAATAATATCCGCTGTGATCTGTCATTTAAGTACGACTTGTAAAATCTTAGCACAGTGCCTGAAATTCCATAGCTTGTTGACATTCTTTGAACAAGTATATTGTGATCCACACAATCAAAGGCAGCACTCATATCAAGTAAAGCTAACAATGTCACTTGCTTTGAATCTGATGCCTGAA